TTTGTTGCCAGTGAGGTACGGCATCGCGATCAGACCGTAGCCCGCAGCCGACCTGAGGCGAGCAGGAGGAAATTCCTTCTTCAGCGAGGACCGTGCCTGCGAGGCGATTCAGATAACCCCACAGTGTGAAGCAAGCACTCACCAAGCATACTTGAGCACAAAGTCTTCCGTCATGGAGTAGGCCACTCTGACCTTGTAGATGCTTCCGACGTGCTTGACGAGCCTCTTGAAAGCTCTATTGAGGATGCTCTCCTCGATAGCGGATCCATTGTAAAAGGCCACCTCTTCGGCATTCGTAATGAGTCTACCATGAGCTCCTCTGAAGTCGCCTTCCAATTTGGCTTCGATCGCTGCCAGCTTGCCAAATGCCGGCGCAGCAGCTCGCAAGATCCTTCCGGTCAAGTAGTAGCTGATAAACAGCCCGAACAGACCTCTTCCGCCAATAGCATTCGCCAATTGGTAATTGAAAATGATGATATCCAGAGTGGGCTTGGCAATGTTGCTGTACAGAGCAGACAGGGTCTCGCAGAAACGAGCAATGTCGGTGGTGATGTATTGATCCGCAGATTCTACCCTTCCATCCAGATTGATGATGCGGTAAAAGTTGGCTTTGGGCGAGAGGTAGAGATCGTGGGCATAGCGCGTCAGACGAGTTCTGAAGCCGATGGCCAACTTGCTTTGTAGGTATCGGATCTGAGGAGAAGCGCATAGAGCGTGTCAGAAAGATGAATGCGTTGACAGCCGACATTGGGCGCCAGTAGCTCGCCGCACTCACCATGCTGTTGGTGTATGTGCTGGGCACAGCCAGGGCGAACCACAGTCCCAGTCCACGCAGAAAGCCACGACCATTGGCAGTGACGAGGTTCTTGACAATGTAGCCGTCCAGTCGGGCAACAAGGACGCTGAGGTATGTGCGCAGGATGAGAAAAGCGGTGTGCAGCGCCAGCAAAAAGACTTCCTTGCAGCGGGTGTTGGGGATGAGGATTCGCAAAATGGCCCTGAAAGGAAGAAGGGGAAAGGGAAGGGAAGAATGTGAGCACGGGTGGCATGGCGTGGCGTGTATGCGCTCTTGCAAGGCATCCGCACGGCAAGCCAAACAGACTCACTTGAGCTGCCTAAAGAATTCCTTGTTCACTCCCACCCTCTTGGCAGTAGCGGCAGCCTGACCACCCTGAGCTCTGACCTCCCTCGCCTCTGCCCTCTTCCTATCCTTTACCGTCTTTTCATCTTGCCCATGCCCTTGCCCATCCTGCGCGCTCTTCTTGACATTGAGAGCGAGGGGTGTAGCTTGACTAAAGTATTTCCAATGAGCATCAAAGGTGGATGATTTGGTAGGTCTGATGGATACGCGGGATATGCGACCTCGATGAGGCACCAGCAACTGATGAGACACGCCTCGCGCATCCACTTTACCATCCTCTGCTCTGGGAATGTAAAGCTGCTCCAGCGCTCGCTCCATCTCTGATTCGCTCAGCTTCTTGCCATAAATCAATGAGCTCGGCTCAAAGGAGAGCGCACCGCTCAAAGATGCGCTCTTGCCGCCGCCGCCGCCGCCCCCACCTGATGACGCTTCGCCCCTTCTGAGTGTGCGATTGGCCATGATGCACGAGATGGGCAGATGGCGATGGAGAGAGAAGACGAGTGTGGACGAGTAGATGTAGCTGTAGGTGTAGCTGTAGGTGTAGGTGTAGGACCTCGTGGGTGACGATGACTGTCAATGCTCTCGTTGTCCTGCTGAGCGTCGCGAGGGGGAGGAGGGGAGAGGAGGTGAGTGGA